ACGTTTTCAACAGACACGGACTGAAAAAAGTTCCGACTCATATGTGTCAATAATAATAATAATAATAATGTTACAACTATCTTTAAAATTTCCTCTTCAGCCATATTTCAGTCTGTTTTCTCATCCGTATGCGAGAGCTTAGAGCGATGCGCGCTCCCGCGACAGGGGATGCAATTTTGGATAGGCATGCGTTTCTGGGCATAACACCGGCGTCACTTGGCTGGAAGTCATGCCAAGTGACGGGGGTTGGCGGATAATCAGTGGCAAAGTAATTGTCTAAATGAAAAAAAAAAAAGAGAAAGAAAACAAACAAAAACAGCTAAACATTTAATGTGTAACTCATCATTTGGCTAACATCTGCCTCCAACAGCATGACTCAACTTACATGGTTTGTTTGGTAAAAACGGTGCCAAGTTTTAGTTGCTCTTTACACCGGGAGGCTCTGCTCAGAACAGCAGCTCCTATCGTCATCTCATCTGCAGGAGCAGCATGCTCACGCTCATGGTGCGTTCAAAGACGGCTCAGAAAAAAGCATTACCACGTGTTAATAATGGATAAAACAAATGTTACGGCTGAGAAAAGTGTGGGGACAGAGAGCGCAGATGCAGGAAGTGCAGGGAGATATGTCCACGCATGTCCCGCATCTGTTATGTCCGTGCCTTCGCTGCCCAGGGCCCTTTGGAGACCGTGGGCCCCTGGGCAACTGCCCAATTGCCCATATGGTTAATCCGGCCTTGACCCTAGGGGTTCGATGAGCTGGTCTCAGGGGTTCGGCAGAGCCTCTGCCGCGGAGGTAAAGACATACTTGTGTAAAGTCATGATGACACGCCCCGCTTGGCCATCACTTGCTGCAGAGGATCACGTGAGATTGCTTGGCCAATCAATGCTGGCCCCAAAAAAGTATTTTGTGGATTCAAAACGACAAAAAACAAATTAACTTCAAATTAACTTTAAAATAAAAAAAATGTTATGAAAAAATGTTAAATTCTTCAAAAAATCCTAATTTATTTTTTATTAGTAAAATAATAAAAAATATATATTTTTGGGGGGCTGAAATTTTTTATGGGGCCAAAATATTTTTCTGGGGCCAGAATAAAGTCATACTGTAATTTGTTGTGAGTTCATGCACTGTGTTGGTTTTGTTCTTTGAGCAAGGTGATGTTAATGCACGGCTCATTTTATATACCAGTAAAAAAAACATATACCTATGTCTTGAATTTGGAAAAATAATTATATTTTATCTATCACTAAAAAGGGTTCGGTGAATGCGCATACGAAACTGGTGGGTTCTGTACCTCAAGAAAGGTTAAGAAACCACTGCTTTAGTTCATTACATTTCACATCAACATCCTCCTAAAAGGATCGCCCAAGTCTTTTTTCTTTTTCTTTAGTTTTTTCAGGAAACACAAAAAAAATAACCAAAAATTTACCATATGACATTTTTTGAGTCTCTTGACATGCTTAAAAGAATATGACTTAGGTGATTATTTTACAAAGGTGTCAACATATACTAGTATAGATGCATAGTACAAGACCAAAATCAGGTTTTTATTATCATTTTCTATTTTATTTTATTATTATTTTTTTTTGCAAAGCAGCATTCAGATAAAGTAATGAGCCTCTACAATATGTTTTAATAATGTATATTTTGGAACCTTAAATCTTAAAATCATAAAGTTTTTTTTTACCTTATCCTATATGTTGTTATTTATAAATGTAAATAATTATTTTTATAAATCTGGACTGTATAATATGTTACACTAATCATGTATTTTTAAATCATAAACAATAACAACCTCAATGATGTAATGTAAAACTAAACTGTGAAACAAAGTTTCTTCTGTGTAGAATGTTAAGGTACTTCTGTGAATATTAAAGTGTTTTACATTTCAAAAGTAGGAATGCTCCAACTTTTCATAGACATAATAAATTGTAGATATTTCACCATCTTTTTTACAGGAAAGTTTCTTGTTCAAAATGTATGAAGATTAAGTTTGTTTGGAGTTTTCTTGTGCATTTTTTCCAAATACTCCAGTTTCATCAACCATTTCTGCATTTTGGCCTTATTTTTATAAATGATGTTCTATTTGCCTAATTTTAGGACCATGGAAGGATCATATTATCTATTAATGTGTTTGACACATAAAATTATTTGAATAACAAGATGCACTTACTGTAATCTAACTCAAACCATATTTAAATATATACACAAAGATAAACACAAGTGATATCTAAGAATGATTGTTGTTAGCAAATCTTGTTCTGACTTTAATCATTCTACTGACAAACAGCATGTCATGAAAACCCAGGTCATTAAAGCATGTCATGAATTACTGGCTTAAACCTAAAAGTATTATTTCCATTACGCCATATTTATTTCATTCTACCACCATGTAAGTTTCCCATGGTTGTAATCAAACATTTAAATGTGTTTAAATAAAAAGCAGTCTGTTTGATTTCTAGTGCAATCATTCATGGAATTGCACAGGATGTAAACAAGGAAACAATCTGTCACACAGTTTCTCTAAGAATGCCAGTGCCCACAAGTGGGATTTATAGACCAAGAAGCTTGAGTTTATCCTCTTAGCATCCAAAAATTGTCACTAGCAAGCTGTTAAACCGGAGGGGTTTGACTCTTCCTAATCCTCAATCCCAACAAATTGGATTCACACCTTCTACGCAAATCAGAGGTGGTAAGCAGGATGTCTGGGAGTCACGGTGCACGTTAAGGGTCACACCTGTCTTCTTTAATTCACATAGACCTTAAAGGTGATTACATCTTGGCGCCATTGTTTGACTAAACCAGGTCATCTCCAGGGTCAAAAAGTCAATCTGAGGTGTAACTCAGCAGGTTATTCTTCTCCAAAATTGTGTCATGTGAGGGGGCGATGGCATTGCTTAGGTAAGCAGTTTTGTTGAAAACATGTTGTTTTTGAAATGCTAAATTTATATTTAAAATCAGCACATTTGTAAAGTTAAAAATCATTTCCTGATATGCAATCATGAGTGAAAACATCCCTAACTCCTAATTGTTAATGAGTGATACCAAATGTATTTAACTCACAAAATGTAACAGATTTTATGCATTCCAGTATTAAATTTGCATAGAAAATTGATATATGTGATATTTAGGTAGAGCTGCCTTTCAGCAAGAAGGTTGTCAGATCAAATCCCAGTCGGGGGCCTTTAGCGTTTGCATGTTCTCTCTGTGCATGTGTGGGTTTTCTCCAGATACTCCTGTTTCCTCCCATAGACCAAAAACATGAATGTTTTGCTAATTCTAAAACTAAGTCTAAATGCTTCTCAGGTGTGAGTGAGAGAGTGAACAACTGCCTGTCTCATTTGTCTCTGTGTCCCTGTGATGGACTTCAACCTGTCCAGGGTGTAGCCCACCCCACGCACAGTGACTGCTGGATGGGGACACCAGTGACTCAGAAAGGAAAGAAGTGGATAAAAGATAATGAATGGATGGAATAACTATCTATTCCAACATGTGCTTCATTAAAACAGCTCAACAAAACAGAGTACAGATATATGAAAATTGATTCACGAGCTTGTCGTGGCTAGTTATAGATAGATTTGCCTTTTGAGTGCCATCTGGTGTAGTGGGGTAATGAGAGTTGAGCACTAAATGGGATTTATGTAAGAGCCTGAGCAAGGTGAGAAGTCCAAAAAAAGCTTAGATCACTGGGGTGCCGTGTTGCATGCTTACAGTCATGCATAAACAACAGCTAATTGGCATTAGCCTCCTGCTTTACAGCAACAAGCACTTAACACACTTGTGCAGCCTTTGTGTTAGTGTTGGCGCTGTGACAGGAAGCAAACAGGATACAGCTAATCTGTCGGTAGGTCGAAAAAAATCACATAATAGAGATTTAGGACAGTTGTTATTCAGTAATTGTATCAAACAATTAGATTATAGTAAGTAAATGAAGTCGTGTCGTAATTTATTACTGAGCATTAATGTATTTTATTCTAGCTGTTAGATTTGTATTTTAAAGATACTCAATGTATTTGAATTGTATTGATTTGTTTTTGCTGCTCCCTTCTTGCCACAAGAAAAAAAAACTGACATGAAAGATTTGGCAACTGTTTTATTCTACACTGCTTGACACAAGCTGGGCTTGAACTTGCAGCTTCAGGATTATAAGACTTCAACACTGACCAGTGTTCTATAACAGGCCTGAAATCATGAAGCATTGTAATTTTCTTTTTTATTACCCTCAGGTTGTCATGCATTGCGTAACATGGAGTTCACACAATACATGAAGCACAAAGCAAGGAGTGATGAAGGTAAAGAGTTAGAAGATGTGAACATGGATGGACCTGCTGTCACAGACTCTGATCCTGACAAGGTTGGACCCCATGAAGGTCTGCCCTGCAGCTGAAGTGCCCTCTGTTGGTGCTTTACTTGACTCAGTTCTCTCCCTTATTTGTGCAAACAGTTATTTTTATTATTCTAGTTATTAACATGATTCTATTTTCAGATCACTAATATTTCATTCAGTAATAACAACCCTCCCTTTAATAAACAGTTAAAAATGACACAGCTGATTTCACCATGATGCGTGCATTTTAGAGGAATGCAGTCATTTTTAAGTCTTGCTTTTACAAATGCGTATCAGTTGGACAGGTACTGAAGTTTCCGTGTTTGTGCATGTGTACGTGTTCATCTCACAGTTCTAAAACCTGCATGTTGGCTTGATTTGACATTAAACTTGGCCTGAGCTGTGATTGTGTGCATGTATTCTTTGTTTGTTTGTTTTGTCTCTGTTTTGGTTTGGTGATGAACTGATGATCTGTTCAAAGAGTGGTCCACCTCTCGCCCATTATCTTCTAGTATTAAGACAGCAATCTCTAACTTTTATTAAAATTTAGCTGTACCTTCATATTTTTGTGATACAATTATTCCTGATTTGTAGTTATTTATTCGACAACATTTTAGGCAAAACAAAAAGACATGGACAGTGTGTGTGTGTTGGGGGGGGGGGTGGCTTTTTGAATAGATACCTACTGGTGAATGCAGCTCAGGAGCACAGTTGAGCTTCAATTTCGCTATAAAATGATTCAAAAATAGATATTTAGCGCCCCCTAGAGGCAAATTGCAAATAATGCAAATGTCTTTAGAAAAAAAAGAAGTGGATGAAAAAAGTGGACAAAAAAGACATTTAGTCTTTTTTATATGCAAAAACAATAAAATTTTAATATATCAAACCATGTCCATTATCAGGTGGTAAGAATATAAAAAAAGCAAACAGAACAAAAAATCAGATGTAACCTGCTGGGTAACCTTAGTTAAAGTAATCTTGCTAACTTCTTTGTAATTTATTTATTTATTTATTTATTGTGCCTTAAAGTACAGATGACCACTGAGTTCTGTCCTTATTTTCACCTGAATCCTCTTTTTTGCGCAGTGTGAACAAATCTGTGAACGTCTGAAAAGCTTCATGGTTTGATGTCTTCTTTATTGTGGCCCAAGGTAAGTCTTTTGCTGGAGTGCAAAGATGTTTTAATCTCTAAACAAAAGAGGAACAAGTATGCCATTAAAAAGCAATAGCATTTAAATAGGTTTATGGCAAACAAAAAGGAGAAGGTAAACGTCACTAATAAATCAATAATTTTAGTGTAGAAAAATAGAGTCAGTTACTTGTTTTAGTGTTCCTGGAGTGATGATTATGGCGTAAAACATCCATAAAGGTACCAATAATGTTGAAGATAGTGTGAAAAATCCTCCAACAGCATAWCCCCACCATGGGTATTCATAGGTGTTGTTGAATTTGAGAGGCACATGTTTGACCACAGAGAACAGAAATGTGAACTAAACAAAAGAAATGGCACAATCAGCCTTTATACTAGACATGTTAAGCTTTTGTTCTAATAAAGTTAGAGTTAAATGTATCTTCAGATTCATAATGTCTTCAAAGTAACCTTAAAACAATGAAAGTTCGTGTGTGAAATGAAAGGATGAAACAAAACTGAATACTCACAGTGCAGATAGCTGGTGTGAAGAACTTCCAACAGTATTTCATAAAAGGCCAGGGACGATAGCCAATCATGCTTTCTATATTATCATAGTGGTGATCTGCACCTGATTCAGTGTTGAATATTCTGATTTTATTATCTAACAACACAAAGAAATTAGCAGTTACAAAGTTAAGACTGTTTCCTACCATAGATCCATCCGACACAGACAGACTGAAGAATAGCAAATAACAACAGTGCCATCCCGCTGCAGGCATAGTAATCAAACAGCTGGAAAACATAAAGGCCTCCCTGTAAAAACCAAATAATACAGAATCCATCACTGAAAGGCAGCACACAGATCATTCAATTAAACCTACTGTTTTGTGTAACATATTTGCCCCTTCAGAACTACAGTATGTGATTTCTTTTTCCTTTTCAAACTTGCACTAACCAGCCATAACATTGCAGCTGCGTGGAAATTTTGCAGATTTCTCCCGAACTCGCACACTAACTTTGACCCATATGATCTGAACATTTTGTCATTGTTTCAAAGAGAAAAATCACATAAAGGCCTTTATTTGTTCCATTTCATATCAATCTACTCACCTCAGTTACCATCACCAAACCAACGAGGAAACCTCCGATACAAATGAATAAAAGAAGAAGTTTACGTCGACAGGCGTTTTGAAAAAAGGAGGGATACATGTCAGAGATTGTGGTGACCAAGGACTCCTGATATACAAACTGTTGGGATGATAAAAACTAATGTCTGTTATCACAAAAAAAATCATGTAGTTTCAGTTTGACAATTTGAAGCTAGGTTTCTGGTCCTACCTCACTATCTAATCCTAAAAGAATGAGCATAATGAAGAAGAAAACTGCCCACAGCTGAGGAAGAGGCATCAGAGCCATGGCTCGAGGATAAGCAATAAATGCCAAGCCTGGGCCTGTAAAAGTACACTTAAAAAGTGTGTTCTGGTGCAAAGCAYAACAGCATATTTTTCATTTTAACTATAATTATCAACTCTCAGCACCTGATTCAGCCACCACTGATATATCCACACCCTGCTCCTTGGCCATAAARCCGAGCACAGAGAAGATGGCGAAGCCAGCTACAAAGCTGGTTAAGCTGTTTAACAAGCACAGATGAACACAGTCTCTGTTTGGAWGACAGTTAAACATGACAAAACACGTTAACCTCAGTGGCTGAGCAATGTGAGCTGGGTAAAAGTATCAGAACCATAAAAATACAGACCTGTAGCAGTTGTTGTTGTACTTGTTGTAGCTACCTAATGATGTCAGRACACCAGTGCAAACACCGTAGGAGTAGAAAATCTGACTTCCTGCATCCATCCAAACCTGAGAGAGTTGGAAGAGTTTGAAAATGTGCACTGATTTGATGTATATCACAATCTGATGACTTTACTGGATAAATATGAGGAGAGTAAAATGTTTAAGCACCACTGATCTCTCTGACAGCTTCAGGCAGGAGCCTCTAACTCAGCAGATAAAACCTTTTGTTCCCCTCAGGGTGCCGTCTGACTTCAAAGTCATGTTTTACATGCAGGTCCCGCTGCAGTTCAAATACTGATGCATATCCTGGTGACATTTTCATTTTCAGTGGCACATTAGAAGAGTGTATGAAACACCTGGGAGAGGTTTTGAACTTGCAATCTGCAGGTCTTRAAGGGATCCCCGATTAGTTGTAACATTAGACTTTATTTGATAAACATATGTTTTAATTGTGAAATAAAGACAGTAAAAATACTGTAGGCTGTTTAGTTTTTATGATTTTTAAACTAAAAGTTTAAAAATATATTAAACGGATGGGGCCATTTAATTACATGCAAAGCATTCTGGGTAAATGATGATGTGGATAGGTTCTCGGCACGAGGCTGTTAGTGAGCTATATCCACCCTGAAGGTTAATCTTGGTCAATATCTGATGATCAGCTCCTTTAAATGAAACCAGAAAGTGTTGACAGAGAGGAGAAGGTAGAACTGACTCAGCCTGTAACTGAAAATATGGATGGAGGACCTCATTTTAGCTTGTTAGTTTGTCACGCTAGCACCGAGCTAATACATATAAGGCAAAATAGCGTCAGCGCTAGAGCAAAGACTAACAGGCTAAGCTGAGGTTCTTCTTCCATGAAGCAGCTCTGTTGTCCTCCATCCATATTTTCAGTTTCAGACTGAGTCGTTTCTACCTTCTCCTCTCTG